TGCCTATTGGAATGGATTAACCGGCTTTCAATGCATCTCTATGGGAAAACGTGTTTCGCTTAACAATGTTTTCCCATAGTGGTGTTTTTTTTAAACCAATTAACATTATTAAGCGAGGCACCACTATATTTCTTTTCCCTACTAATGTTTCTGCATGTTTGAGCTAATATTGAGAACATTCGCTAGTGGGTTTCTATGCATGTTTACTCAAAATTAAGCTCCACTGTAGTCAGTAGGGCTTACTTCCTATTAAGTGTGGTTAGGATTGCAAATTAAGTTCCAAAAGCTTCTCTCACACCCAACTGAGCTGGCAGATACTGATCTAAATGGAGCTGGTACCACAACTCACCCATTTGTCTGTTAAATATTGCATGACCTGTCCCATTCCTCTGCTTGTTCTTTTCCATTGAAAAGTTATTCCTGTGCCTGTGACAACTTTGATCCTCAGCATCTCCAGGGAGGGCTAGGAAACACCTCCATCTGAAATCATAGAGAGCCATTTTCAGTCATTATACACCATACAATGTGGACCTATTGATTGGTCAACACAAATTACCTGTTATTCATCCAATTGTTAACAAATCCATAATTGATAATCAGTTAACAACTCTGTCATTATGATTATAATAGCAAACCTAGGGCACTATAGCATATAACAGAATGCCCAGTTGTCACAAAAGACATGCCTGCTGTTGCAAAGGTTTTGAGTCCTACAAAGCACATGCATAGGGATTTCTCATTTTTGTATATGTGAGGATTTCTATGGGAACAAATGGAGAACTTTCTCTCCAGGTTCTCACTTTTCTGGTCCTTTTTTCATTGCCAGCAGTAACCCCAAAAGATATAAGGTTCATGCAGTTGACAGAAATTGAGCAGCATGGAATATTTGGCAGGGGGGGTTCAAGGCCCATGCATTTAATGTCCCGGGGGCACAGGATGAGCCCCCCCCAAGATCTACAATAAGAGAAATTATGTCACATTGCTGTACAAAAGTGCTAGTTTGCTTATCACTTATCCTAGATAAAGTTCTTTTGATTTCTTCATTATTGTTCAAATTACTTTGCAAGATGTCTGTAGGTGGCCTTTTATTATAAGCCAATGTATATAGGAAACCTAAAAACTAGAAATGGGGAAAACAAAATAAATGCATTTTCCTATCCTTAGACAAAGATAACAGTTGTTCAAATATGCAATATGTATATATACTTGCTATTCATTCTCTCTTTCTCTTTTCCATTTAGTGTTTTCTTTCTAGGAGCCATTCTTGTAATAGCTGCTACATTCCTATATGGGTATGATCCAAAGCCTACAGGAAATCCTATTAAAGCATAAGACTTTTTCATGCCAGACCATTTTGCCAAGACTGTGCATTAAGGACCTCAAAAAAACTCTGTGGAGGGCTATTAAGCACTGGGAAGCACATGTTTACACTGTATCTGAAGTATGACATTAAATAATGGTTTATAAGAAACAAACGGAATAAAGACAGAAAACAATATGTACCTCTCAAAAAGAAGAAAGGCCTAAAGCAAAACTTGAAGGGAACACATTGCTTCTGATATCTGCAATTAGAAATGCTTCTACCTTGAACTGTAATGTTAAATCAAGGTGATCTGACTTTGACAGCTGCGGAAAATGTCCTATGCACTCTTCCTGCTAGAGCACATGACAGCATTTGTTGAATCAATCTGATTTTGAAAATTGACTGTTTCATCTTGGTAACTATGGTGGGGTGTTTTTTTTAATGGACTGTTTATAAGTATCAAATCAAAGAGAAATAAGATCTTGTTCAATTGTGATGTTTCTAATCAAGTATGCCTATTTAAAAGCCTTCAAAGTATAACTGAATCATTCTTATTTCCAGGTTTTTAATATTTTATATAGAATACTCAAAAAATAAACAGAAATCATTGCTGTAAGATATACCTAATTTCTTAGAACAATGAGAAACTTGCTTGGTTAGATTCCATGAGAGCGAAAATTAATACTTTCATCATTTGTATATTTAGTCAGCAATGTTGCATAGGTCACAAACACCGTCACTGCTCTTCTACAGTTAATTTCAGAAGACATGAAAAAAATGGAAGCAAAATTGCTCACACAACTAGCATTTGTTCCTACGTTTGGTAAATGGCCATGGGACAGTGATTGGCATGAAACCGAATACGGAGGTGTGTTTGTTCAAAGCACAATTCCTTTTCTTAATAAGCAAAACATTATTGTAACTAACTTACAGTACATCTCATTGTCAAATTAATTTGAAGAGATATTTAAATTGTAGTTTTAAAATTAGCCATGTAACTGTTTAAAGTTGTTACCATTCCTTTCAGAGCCACAGTGGTATATCTTGTGTATATTCTGTACTATATTACAGCGGGTTTTTTAAAAAAGTTATTTGCAAGAATTATGTTATTAAAAGTGGTTTAGTCCAGCCTTGAAATCCCATTGTTAGAATACACGGTAATCATGTTAACCAAAAATGAAGGATGTTATTATGCAATACACACAAAGATAAGAAACTGTCTTATACTGAGTCAGATCACTAAACCAATGAAGCCAGTATTGATAGCACTGACTGGAAGCGGCTCTCCTGTCTTTCCTTGTCTTCCCTGGAGATTTACAGCATTTATTTTATTTTATTTATGTAAAATATGTTTACCCCACCTATCTCCTTGAAAAGGACCCAAGGCGGCTTACAATAATGAAAGACAATATTTAAAGTTGAAAACAATGAGTATAAAGAGGCAGCTTACATCACTAAAAGGCAATATTAAAGGTAAAACAAAAAGTATACAAATATTAAAAAGAAGAGCACAAATGCCACTGAGAAATGGAAAACACAAAAATGGGGGAGGGGAGTAATACTAAAACTTCAGTCAAAGCAGTAATGCATAACAATACAGTGGTGCCTCAGAAGACAAGCGCCCTGTTTAACGACGAAACCGCATTACGACAATCTCAAAAGCGATTGCTTTACGATGGTTTCAATGGGGGAATTTCGCTTTGCGATGATCGGTTCCCTGCTTTGGGAACTGATTCTCGCAAAATGACGATTTCCGGCCAGCTGATTGGCGGTTTCAAAATGGCCACCGGGTAAAAAAAAAATGGCTCCCCGCTCTTTTCTGGGACGGATTCCTCGCTGCACGGGCAGCGAAAATGGCCACGCTATGGAGGATCTTCGCTGGACGGTGAGTTTCAAGCCCATAGGAACATATTAATCGGGTTTTAATGCGTTTCTATGGGCTTTTTTATTTCACATTACCTTTTCATTCTACAGCGATTTCGCTGGAACAAATTAACGTCGTAATGCGAGGCACCACTGTAGATCTAAATAACTCACACAGGTAGCTAGTTACTGAGGGAAGGCTTGCCTAAAGAGAAAGGTCTTTGCCTGTTTGCGGAAGAACTGCAAAGATAGAGCCAGTCTCACCTCCTGTGGGAAGGAGTCCCAAAGTCTGGGAGCAGCAACAGAAGGGTCTTTCTCCTGTGTCCCCATCAGATGCGACTGTGAAGGTGATGGGAGCTTGAGAAAGGCCTCTCTTGATGATCTTAACCCTCAAGCTGACTCATAATGGGAGATACAGTCTTTTAGGTAGCTTGAACCCAGGCCATTTAGGACTATGAATTAAAACCAGCATGATGAATTGTGCCCAGAAACTGATTGGCAGCCGGTGGAGCTGCTGTTATGTGATTCCATAGTGATTTCCCATCCAAGTACCAACCAATCCGTGTGTATTCAGTGTGGTATAATTACATGCTTCTATCTGGGCAAGTGGAGGAACTTCTCAGTGAAAACCTCTCTCTCTCCTTGTGAAACTGAAAATTGAAGTACATTCTAAATTAGAGCCCAGATTGAAGAAATAAAGCCCTATTAGGGTCGCTATAAGTCGGTTCTCAACAGCACATCAGTAACTACAGTGGAGCCTCGATGTCCCGACGTACAAAAATTTCAACATACGAAAAGCTCCAGCTGCAAAATTTTGTTTCTACTTGCAGTCGGAGCTTTCACGTACGAACAAAAAAAGGCAGGGGAAAAGGGCGGGAAATTCAAACCGTTGGTGGCGAAGAGGCTGCTTCTTTGTAGCTCTTTCGCCCCAATGGTTAGGAAAAGGGAGGCTCAGCCTCCCGGGCTTCCACCGCTGGTGCCGCCGCCGGCGGGAGGAGATCCACCAGACTATCCCGGCCACCACTGGAGGCCTCCTGGGGTTCTCTGCCGCCGCGGCCGCCACCGGCGGCTTTCTGGGCTTCCCCGCCACCGTCAGAAGCCTCCTGGGCTTCTCCACCACCATCGGAGACTTTCCGGGCTTCCCTGCTGTCATCGAAGGCCTCCCTGGCTTCCCCGCCACTGAGACCGACGCTTCCAGAGGCCTCCTAGCCATCGTAGGAGTCTGGCGGTTACTTTTATTTTAAAATTGTGAGCGTCTCTTTTTTTTTAAGTTTCAAGGCGACTCTCCTTGGCTTTGTGCAAATTGAAATGAACAACTGGAACAGGGCTATAAATATGTCTGTTTGATCTTTTTGAGATTTACTGTGGCCATAAACGGACTTGGATAGAAGCTGCGCGCTCCTCTTATAAGCCTAGTTTACCTTGGACTTCTAATAAAAAAATGCATTATAATCCACACATTTATAGTCAGCAGGTTGCTGTGACATAGCCAAGGTTGAAGTCAAGAGCAAATGTTACTTTCATACATGCAAAGTTTTTGGCATTGATCAACTGTTTTTTCTGGCCGGAATGGATTAATTGGTTTTCAGTGCATTCCTACAGGAAATGGTGCTTCGACTTACGAAAATTTCGAGTTACTGCCACCGTTCCAAGATGGATTAATTTCGCAAGTCAAGGCACCACTGTAATTGCCATCAGTGGAAAAGAGCTTGTTTGGGCAAATGGGAAGCCTTATGTGCACACTTGGTGGCAGCCATGCCAATAGGGATCACATGCATACCATTTTGAAAAAGTATTTTTTTAAGATGAGCCATTCTAGATGCTGGAGTTATGTATTTGAATGGAGAACTATTGTGTGCAAGGCAAGTCCTTGTGGAAATTTGTGCTGGAACCTTTATTGATATTCCTTTGTCTCCCATAGAAATATGCCTGTAGAATGGCTAGGCTGTGCTTCATGAATCTTTTTGTATTGTAACTTATGATCCAGCTTAATGCAACTCTGCTGTTAAAACTGTTTGCAGTGTCTGCACAACACCCTGCCCCAAACAGCACATGCATTTGTTTAATATTGCTGTTTTCATATCTCAGGAAGCCTTCATTTAGTATTTAAAAATATGGATTTTTTCTGGGGTTAGACGTCTTAATGGTATTTATGTGAGTCATAGGTATGCTAAGTTTTTTTTCTGAGAAAGTATGGGTTAAACTGGCTTTCTTACTTGGAGCCGGAGATTGGGAGTTCAGTTCCTCACTCTGCCTCCTTGACGGGCTAGACTCAATGATCCATAGGTTATCTTCTAGCTCTGTAATTTCGAGATGATGATGACGACGACGATGACTTGTTTCAAGATCTTATTCCTGTTTTCTGTTATACTTCACACTATTGTCCTATGTGTGTCTACTAGGAAGCAAATTCCATTGAATTCAATAGGCCTTACTCTCAGGTAAGCATGTATATCATGAAATGCTTAGTAATTATATTTATCATTGTAGCGGGCCACTCTGAAGCCTCTGTCAACTCAGGCCTCCCAGAGTGCTCACTACTCTTCTTCAAACTGCTGCCACCAACCTATCCTTAATACTCAAAAAGGACAAGTGTTGCTTTTAAAACAAAAACTGTGTTTATTGATTTGACAGAATAAAAGGAGTGAATCACAGGTAGTAAATCAAGTTGTAAATCAAGTTTCTCATTTAATGTACCTCACACAGACTTTTCCCTCACTAACTCTCACAGATCTATCTCACTCTCTCAAACAATTTATCTCATCTCTTCAAACCCTCAGAACTCTCCCTCACACATCACACACACCCTTTATATAATCCAGCTCCTCCCCCTTCTGCACCACCCTCCATCCTCTCATTGGCTGATGTTCGAAAATTAATAAATGCGTTATGGTACAGGCTTCCAAGTGGCATATCCTGCTGCATCAGTTGCATGGCAGGTCCCTTTTAACTAAGCCAATGTCTTTGTCTATGGTACTTGGAAAAGATACAAGATCCTTTTCACTTACAGCAATATTTCAGTGTTTGCCCTTCATTTCAATTTTTAGGTCAGAAAATAAGATCTTTTTGTGATTTAAAGAAGTATGAACCAAGCACAAGTGACTGTACTCAGAACTATAAAGACATTGGTGCAAAAATCATAGATGTACCCAAAGAGATGCTGCGACACTAACTTGATTCATGATTTGTCAACAACTGCCTAATTTAGTTTGTGTTTCCTTTTTCAGTTTTCCTTTGGAGTTCCCATAAGCCTCCATTTTGGATAAGCCATTGGTTACATTTCAACATCTATGGCTTTCTCCTCAGGCATTGGATATTTTCCTTCATCAGACCAAAAAAAACCCCACACCCAATTAAATTAATCAAGACCTATCAAAAATGACATTTCTTACCTGAAAGTGAAAAATGATCTATTTTTCAAGATCCTGTTTTATATACTTCATATTTCAGGGCTAGTTCCCAGCACAGTTCATATGTCACAACAATCAGTAACTGTAAGAACAGAGTTATGGAGGAAATGAAATGAATCAATTCATCATGATTAATATTTTTATATCTTACCTTTTTCAAATCATGACTCTCAGGAGAAGAGCAAAATAACAACCAGCTGCAAAGTATGACATTCAGTTGGCATAAAGAGACAAAAATGTTTACCTCACCTTCTGGAGAGTGAAGACAACCTGCATGAGTGCTAGAAATAGAATCATGATTACTTTCAAGCACACTGAAATCATTTCCCCCAAATTTCTTCTA